TCATAATATACGTAGATGATAGGGCTCTATGACCGAAGGTAAGTATACCTGAAAGGCAACCCTCTTTGTGAACCCCTTCTCTCTTCTCCTTCCTGCCCCGCTGCCGACTAGTTTTAGAATGAGCACTCTAAAGAAATTTGCCAAGTTTCAAGTTTTAAATAAGGCTCCTCCTTTCTCTGCTGCTTGTATTTTTCGTGGATGGGAATTTATATGGGTTTGCATTGTAGAGTTGTCTATAGTAAATGTTGAATGTTCGTACCTGAATCGGTTCATATTTTCCTGCATGATCGCACCGTCTCACTTTCCGCATCTCGTATAGTTCAGCTGTTAATGCTGCATGAAAACAAGCTGAAAGATTCCATAGTAGGCACAAAAATACAACCAAAAAGGAACATGGAACTCATGGAGAAGATGGAACGAAAATCAGAATTTACTCACGCGTGGTACGCACTGGATAAAGACATTGAGTGGAACATCCAATGCGACAGCATCGTTTCATGCCAGGACATTCGTCGTCAGACTCACATAGAGACGAACAATTTGTGATTTTTTCTACTAGCGACTTTTCAACTGATGATGGGCAATCGGCTACCAACGAAGATAACATGCCTGTTAATAAAATCAATTGCTAGGATAAATCTAAAGCAAGACGGAAAATAAAGAATGAGTGGTCGGTGGCTTATTGCCATTTTGCCGATACTTATCAACCGGAGTTTAATAAAATTGGATAGCGTTTTTCCAAGAAAAAACTTCCAGTTTGCTTCCACATGTATCTGCTGTTAGTCATATCCATATAGTGACCAAAGAATACGACTAACAGATGCATGTGATCCTAAATCTCAAGCAAGTGGGGGAAACGTTTTCAATTGGGCTATTAAAAGACGTGAGAAAAGGTAAGGGAGGGTAGGTGAATGTTACGAAATCAGATAATGTAGATGCAGATTATTAAGGGCCGAAAGAACAAGATGGTGAAGGACATCAGAAAGGGACCTATGGACGATGATGAGGATTGCCATGGACCTTAGACAGAAGAAACGGAAATAAAATTGGTGGAAAAGATGAAATGAATGACTTGAAATTGTTGAAGAAGAGGAGCACGACCTAAGAATGATGAAAAGAACAAGAAACATAAGAAGTCGACGAAGATTATGTCATATTGGAAAAGTAGTGAGATTGAAAGAGATGTACAATCAGCGAGGACGAAATAACGATCAACAAAAAAGCAGGAATTGCTTGCATTTGCACCCTAAACCCGAAATTATTCAAACTGTCTTCATCTTAAATAAGCCTTTCTTCAGCTTTACAGAATTTTTTTTCCAAATGGAATAAAGCTTTCGATAAAGATAAATAGAGGAGGTTTTGAAAAAGTGAATTTACCTTTATTATGTTGTACCACATCTCCCGGATGGAATAAAACTCTTCTTTGCGGAACAATTGTTTTGCGTTGCAGACTTGGCAAACTCACTGGATAACAAGTCAGACCGCATCCATCAAAACAGCATTTTCCTACAAATATCTCTAAATAGCTCAAAAATTGATAAAATGTACCTAATTTTGACGATCGTTTGGTTTGAGAATAGACAGATGAAATTACCGTTTACACAATCGTGGTCTGTGCTACATGTAGATGAACATCTCGCTTCTTTCAGTGGCATAACAGCTGGACAATCGGCTCGTTTTGGGATTTTTGGCCCATTGCAACAGAATCCAAGGCCTCCATAGCCAATCTATCATCAAAGTATTTTACTCTCAATTCTCCAACTATGATACCTTTTTTAAGAAATTCTTTATAGTTTTTAATATTTTCAGCTTTATGCAGCTACTAATTCTCTTGTCCCCTCGCTACAATCCTGGGAACATGATTTGTGCGGTGAACGCTGGGATGTGACTTGCGTCCGCCAGGACCGGACTATTTCACTCACTTGCTGCGTGAGCACAATTACCGATATAATTGCTGTGGTCACATGCGAAACATCGTAGAAACATTAAAAAGTTTTTGTTGCATTTTTTCATCTATTTTGTGTAAAAATGTAAGAAGCAATGATGCTCAATTAAGTATTGGAATTTGTTGATTTTCCGAAGTCCACGCTAGAAATTTAACCATATTATACGTCTATGATGCACAT